AGGAAATGAAATGCCATCATCTTAATTCTCCAAACTAAATTGTGATTTCAAACTGCACTGATAATTGCGTTCAACTTATGCGGTTAGTTCTTCTGTAATTTGAATACCTTTTGATACTCATCATACGAAGTTCACTTGCATATCAGCATTATTCCAACGTGTACTTGCACATTATGCACTGATCAGCATTCTTTCAATATACACTTGCACATTTTGTGCTGATTAGCATTATTTCAACGTGAACTTGCACATTATGTGCTGATCAGCATTCTTCCAACATGCACTTGCATATTATGCACTTAACGACTGAATGATCTTCACGTTGAAATTGCTGTAAATTCCACATGGTCTACAAGACTTTATGAGAATTTTACATATTATTTCGTAAAAAAAATAAAATTTCAGGACTATATGGCCATATAACAAATTTTTCAAGTTGTTATTTGTATACAGTAGAGATTGTACCTGGGTAGACATTTTTATTATATGGCATAATAAATTACTTGGATAACCAAGTAATTTAATAATACCCAGATAGAAATTTTCTTGATAGGTACAATCTCTAGTATATAGCGGCATTTAGAATGAGCATAACTTTGCAAGCTAAAATATTGTACTTGTCTATGCGAAATATTTGTTGTAATATTTCTGAGGCCAAGTGAAAACTATGCGAAAATACACATTTTGATTGATTAATTAAATAAAGAAAATATTACTATATATCAATAATGCATACATGTAATTTCAAATATATATAAAAAGAAGACAATTTTACCTTTAAATTTTTAACTCATATTTCTCAAGTTATAAACCTACCACTGAGGAGAAATAAAACTTATCATTAAAATAAAGCTTTAAATTATAACAAGAGTAATTTGCATATCATTATTTTAGCAGCAAATATGGAGAATAAGAAAACATGTGGTACATACAAATGCTCATTACTCCCAGAAGCCTTTATTCACTATAACAAATCTTACAAAACATACTCCAACTGCTTAACTGCAAAGTTTAACAAGAGAGCAGAGAAACAATCCCATCTATCCGATCATGACCTTGAAAATATAAACAACCAAACAGAAAGTTAATTAGAAAATAATATAGAAGATATTGCTTTTTCAATATTATAGAATATGTCTCTAATAAAATTATCAACCTTGAGGAAAATTTTGGCATTTTCTTTAATTTGTATATTGAACTTGATGATAATGTACTAACAAATACGCATTATGATATGAAACTTTTGGCTAAATTAATAGTTGATAAAATTGAAGAAGGAGACAGATATAGTTGGATATAAGTAGCCCTCAATTCAAACCACAAAATCTACCTATTAAATTAATCACTTCCATATTAATAGATTTACAACTGGACTTACCAAATCTGTGCGTCATTCAGAGGTTAGTAAATTTTATCTTGCATGCTCTCAGTGTCGTGAATTAGAACATGATTATAAAGAATCAAACTGTAAAAAGATAGCTCATTTTGATTGTCATAGCAAACTAATCATCAGTATTGACATAGCAGCAAAAGAAGTAAAAGTAAAACTTAGCCATGATATTCAACATGAAAAGCCTATAGACGTTTCAATATCAGAAGAAATAAAGCATGAAATTATGCAGAACCTTCACATGGATCTAGTGCAGCTGCGAGCACATATTCATCAAAAATTTAATGCTTTACAAGTCACTCTGAAACAAATCAATTATTGGTAGTTCATTTATAATCAATGCTTCTTCAAATTAGACAAAGATCCTCTTATTTCTACATATTGCTTTTTAAATAATCCTGATAATAAAAGCAAGTTGTGTTATGAGTATAATGATAATTTAGTTACAGCAATTGGATTCATCACTCCACTACTAACTAAACTCTCATCTGTATCTAGCATTCATTGTGATGCTACATTTAAAACTGCCAAAGGGTGGTTTGAGCTTTATGGGATAATTGGTAGTGCTCATGGTGCAAGATTTCTAGTTGCTATATTTAATGTTAAATACTTCAAATGCATCTGACAATGCTCAAATGGGGTTGCAAACAAAAGCATTTGCCAGTTTTCTTCACTCTCTTTGCAACAAAGAATTGCAGCCACAGCATTTTTTTACTGACAAAGATTTTGCTCAGATTAGTGCTACAAAGGAAGTATGGTCTAATATTAATGTGCAACTCTGTTTGTAGTACATAGAAAAGGCAATTAAAGAAAAAATTAAGAGTTGTAAAAAAATAAAACAGACCCAATATCAACCTAATGATGCAATTGAAGAGTTTAGTTTTATTGATCCTGACTTCAAGCCTGATTTAACCCGAACTAACCCTGAGTACTATATTATATGTCCGGTAGAGCTGCAAGACAAAATCGTTAATCTTATTAAAAAACATTTTAATATGCATCAAAAAATACCTGTCAATGCTGCTGAGCTGTTTTTAACAGCTAATGAAATCCGTACTAGCACCATTCGTGAAATGTATGATCTCTGTTTTGAAAACCACCTTGTGCTTCTTTGGGCGTATTTGTGGTCTGGGTGGTATAGAATCACAAGGTGGACACTGTAAGCTCATTCAACACAAACAACTATCCTAATTAACAAAACAAATATGTTAATAGAATCGCATTGGAGAGTTGTAAAATGCTGCTATCTTTACCGCTTCAACAGGCTACAACTTGATTATGTTGTGTAGATTATCTATACATGCCTCCTTTTTGACCAGCTAATTCGCCTTTATCAAATAAATAAGAGACGAATAATATCATCTTGGTTTGAAGATTTTAAAAAAGATTGGAGTCAGCTTGCTTCAAAATTAATTGATGATGATGATTATACTCGTTAGTTTATTGATTCAGCATGTTAAATATGTAGTTATCTATCATTTCTTAATTTCTGTTTTCTTATTTGCAAGTATTTGGTGCAATGTGCAACAGTTATGGTGAGGCTGCAAAATCCAGAAGGCATCTGGCTTTTGTATGAAAATTTTTAGCGAAGGAAGAATTATTCTTTTCTAATTTGGAGCACTAATGAACACATATTAACAGAGATTAATCTACAACAATCTATAGTTTTATCAGCTTTACAGGTTGAATCAAGTAATTTGAAAAAATGAATCAAGATAATCCAGAATTAGCTAACACTAATAATTTGATCGAAATTGATGAAGTATTTGATTTAGAAATGCGTCAAATCTGCAGAGAAAAGGTTACAGCCATAAGATATATAGCAGATCATTTGGAACAAGAACTTTTGGCGACTAATCTCAATTACATTTCTTGGGTGGTCAACAATATGAACAGGTTGTTCACAATGCTGAATGATATCGAGATGACACAAAATAAAAGAAGGTGAAATCCAACATAGCAAAGATCAACACTCTGGACATTATACTTGCAATAAAAATTCAAATAAATAGTTATATTTGTTATACAAGCTGCTGCTATTCAAAATAAGTAAATAAATAAATTAATTGATTAAAAATCAGTTGGCATAAAAAAACTTATCTTATTAAAAGGTTACAGGTTTTTATGTTATAGTGAAGTAATCTGTTCTACTAATAAAGTAGGTTTAAAATTCATTATATTAAAAACTTTATTAGTAATTTCGCTATAATGGGAAATTTTTATATAAACTAGCTTTAATCTTAACTCCATTACATCGAGATTTTATAGCTGTTTTCAAAAAAATGTGAAATGCAATTTCTATATATCCATGTAGGGAATCGAAGAATGTGGAAATTCTGCTTAGTAAAAAGTAAAAATCCGACTAGTGAGAGTCTTGAAAACTCTAAAAATCTGAGAAATATCTTGAATTCTCTATGGTATATAAAGATTTGCCCCTTTTCTTCAAATTTTTGAAAATGGCTGTAATTGATCTTCACAATATCTGAAGAGAATTATTAAATAAATTTCTGTGTCTCACGCTCATTAGAATTTTTTTGATGAATTTGCATGAAATGTTTAAAAAATAAAATAAGTAAAATAGTAGATTAGTGAAATTTTAAGTATTAGTGATAGTGAAAGTACTTTATATTTTGTATATTGCAAAAAAATATTGAGATTATAAAGCAAACTTGAGTTATCCAACTACTATAAGGTATCTGGAATTTACAATGATTTGAAATGTACTTGGAATATTTTTTTCGTTTTGCTTAGTCAATTTTTAAAGTTTTCTACCTCTAGAATACTGCTTTATGAAGTATACGTTGTATATAACTAGCGTATAAGAAAATTATTGCTGCTGGGTACAAAAAAATAGAAAACGTACGTATATACTGTTACAAAGTAGATTTTTAGTATAGATTTTATTAAACATTATTTAGTTATTTTTAGTTATTATTATTCAAA